GTCGTCTCCTCATCCCCACCACATATGCGACAGCTCGCCTCTGGCGTCAGGTGCCTCCTCTGCCTTTCGTAATTAGTAAGTAGGCGCTGGTGAGCTACAAGCCAAAAGAAGGCACGAATCCGCTGCGTTGCTGGAGTTTGCCACAACGTTTTCCACATGGGATGCGAGCCACCCGGGCTCTCCTCCACCGCCTTCATCATATAAGTCATTTTAACCGAGAAGCAGCCATTCGGGGTAAACCGCCATACCGCAACATCCTCCCCTTATTCATGAGGCACCGGATGTAGCTGGATAGTGCTGACGATGTCATCCTGCAAAAAAGCACGAAGGTAAGGTATGTTCAATTCGCCGTTGAGGACTAGATCAGCTACCGTCAGGGAGAGTGCTTCTTGCGGGAGATTAGCCGCCAAGTCTGCCAACACCGGACCGTCTTGTAACCACCTATCAGTCCAAAATCGTGTGTTCTTGCCACTCTTAATATTCCACATAACTGCGTCTAGGAGCAGGTGGAGGATCCGAAGCACACCCCGCCACAGGTTTGACAGGCGGCCTTGAGTTCTTGGCTGCCATCCCTCCTCCGTGCGTCGTAGATACTTTGCCCGTACAATGCTGGCCCATAGACTCTCCGGTTCCGCCAACAATCTCCAAGCTATTTTGAGCATGATAGTTGTGGATATACAGCTGTATTTTGCCTTTATTCAACTAGCCTATTTGGCATCTACCTGTAAACTTTGTTTGCTTTTTGACTTATGTGGCAGGTGAGATGGCATTGATTCAGCATTCCGTTAGTTAATTTAACGCCGTCTGACACGCCGTTATAGTTTCAGACGAAAGTGGATAGATTTGTCACACAACCTTCCGATTTTTGGATATTTCGTATATTTTGATAGTTGTGGATATATTTGTGACAAATCTGATAGTGGTGAATAAACAACTGTATTTTGGCTGGAATTTAACACAACAACATATGTGAAACTGATGTATAAGAGAAATCAACAAGCTCTAAGCAAGCTCTTCAAATAACCTCTCCTCCTCCCCTGTCCCGCCTCAACTGCTGCTTGACGTCTCCGATTGCGACGTGCCCATGTGTCACGAGCTCTAACCTTTTTTCAAACCCAAATGAGCACCACCTTCTCCGTAACTTAGCACAAAATTATTAGGGCTAATACCACTAGGAAACCCGAACTATTAACTTTGTGTCATTTGTGACCTAAAGTATTCGATATGACATTTGTGTCCTGACGTATGATAGTTGTGTGTCATTTACGTCCTGACAATTTTGTTGACCGTTATAGATAATGGTTGGCCAAACGGTCAACCATAAAATGTTGAATGTTGATTACATGGCACATATGTGGCAGCCACGTTAGCGCCATGTCAGCTGCCACATCAAGTTGTTATTTTCAAATTAAAATTAACCATTAAAATAAAAAATAAAAAATAAAAATTTTAACATTTGAAATTAACAATTAAAATTATTTTCAGCCACATATCCTCATCTCTTCATCCCGTCAATTTGCCCCTTCCATTTTCCGCTTTCTTGTTTCGTTTTCCTCCCGGATCTAGCCTGATTTCGAACTGAACTCGTTCTTCTTCTTCCCCTTTGATGAACTAAACCCCCCAACCCAATCGGCGCCACCGCTGGACAGGACGCCCTATGAAGAAGCCGACGGATGCAGAGGATGAAGAAAAGTCTCGCCATCTACTCGCCGTCTATTGGAATCCGTCCACCCAGAATCCACCTGCTCATTCGTCCTCTCGCCAGCACCTCCCCCGACCATCCTCTAGCTCAAACCCCAGAAACCATGAAGACGACAAAGCACGCCACTCCCCATCCCCTCGTTAACCAGACTTGCAGAGCTGTTTAGCTGTCTATCGATTTTTTGGATATCTCGCTCGTGTGCCTTCTTCCCCGGGCCGAAATTGAGAGAGCTCAGATGGCGTATTGGGTTCTTTATAAAAGATGGAGAGAGCTCGTGTGTGATTCGAGAGGATGTGGGATCAAGATCGTGCCTCCGTTATCCAAGTAGGAGGATTTAGGTGTCAGGAACAGCACCGGCTCCTGCGAACGAGGTGCTGATTAGGTGGCCGAAGGGAGAGCGAGTAAATTTGGGCTGAAGGGAAAGGAATTTTTTTTTTATTTCAGAGCGAAAACCACTGCTCTCTCACCTACCTTGCTATGCTTCACCAGAGCTGAAGCGCCAAATCCAGATTCGCAAAAACTAATGGAGCTTCAGCGAATCGTAGAGGGGAATCGGATGGAGCTGGGGAGTGGCGGCGCAGATCTAGTCGGGGGTAGAAAGGCGGCGCGGATCTAGCTGGGGTGTGGGTCTGCCAAAAATTTTCACCGCCGGCGGAGAAGCCGTCGATTTCCATTAATCGTGTCCCAAAAGAATCCCAAATCAATTTGTTTACTGTTTTTGTTTTTATTTTTTAATTCTCTTTTTTCTTATATGAAAAATAATTATAAATTAATAATAAAAATTCCACGTCAGATGCCACATAAGCGCTGACTAGACTTTCTGTTAAAAACTAACGGTCAACGCTAGTCAACTCTAACGGAAAAATAGTTTAGGACATAAATGTCATATCGAGTACTTTAGGACAGAAATGACACAAAGTTAATAGTTCGGATTTCCCAGTGGTATTAGCCCAAATTGTTATTGTCCATTATTCTTCATAAGTTAGATGACTGCCTGCAGGTTATGTGGTTACTTTTACTTCACCTTAAATTGATTAGATAGTTTGATAGAGGTACTCGTGTGTGAATCACGTATCAAAGTCTCACCACAACTATTTACTCAAAATTGTGTTGGCGATGAGAACATAATTGAGTAAATTATAGAGATTTTATTGTTTTTTTGTTGCTTATTTTTGTTGCTTGTTTTTGTTTTCTGTTGTGTTTTTGTTTTCTGTTGGCGATGAACCGTTTAGTATTGTTGCTTGTTTTTGTTTTCTGTTGTGTTTTAAGAAATTTGGGAAACCAAGAAAAAAAATCGTGTTTAGTTGGGTTTTTATTTTCTGTTGTGAATCAGAGTTGTGCAACAGGGCCCAAATATGAGAAACAACAATTTATTGCTTTGGATCTGATTCTTGAACATGTTGCACACGGGTTTTTTGTCCGATTTCATTAAACGGGGTTTGGGGTTCGAGACCAGCAAATGTATTCTTTTTATTTATTTTATCCTATTATATTGCTTCTTCCCTTCCCGTACAACCTCCATGCCACGAGCTCTCTTTTCTTCACCGCCAATTTCCTCCACTCACCCCTCCCTTCTCGTCGCCGCCAATCACCCACTCATGTTGCCCGTATGTTCGCCGCCAATTGCCCACTCATCCCGCCCGTATCCTCTCCGCATAGTGGCGTATGCTATGTTTTGGGCCTTTGATTTCATTAACAGAGCAAGGTGAGACGAGGGCGGCTGCTTGAGTGGCGACCGCCGGAGAGGAACTCGAACTGGAATCAGGCGCCGCTTGAAGATCCGCCACAGGTCGACATTGTCCAAGCGCTAAGCTCGTTCACATTTTTCGGGAGTTCGGCAAGGCGCCTAACGGTTATGGGGATGGGAGAATCGTCGATTCGAAACTTGTTGAGCTTCAAAGAAGACAACCTGTGCCAGAAACCCTCGTCGGTGGAGCTGTGGAAATGGGGATTGCAATCTTCCCGGCGGCAGTTTATTTCCACCGCTAGGAAAAGGGGTCCGAAGTGGAGTCTTTCTTTCAAAGAAAGTTCATACCTTTTCTTTCGATGTAGTGAACATGTTTGCTATTTTCGTTTTTGGTGTTAGGGATTTTTATTTTTGTGAGATAAACAGGTTGTTGATTTGCGTTGTGTTGTTGTTGTCGTTGCTTTTCTGTTTGCACAACCTTTATAAAACACAACCGGATGAAAACTATACTAAACGGGGTTAGTTTAGGAGTTGATCTTGTAGCACTCGTGATTAAAACGATTGATAGAACACCCACCATCATTTACGTAGGCAGATTTTGTTGTTAGTTTAATATGAGGAGCAGGCTAGGCTCTTGGTTGTTAATTATATAAAAAGAAAAACAATGTCATTTTAAGGGTTGTGGTCTATGTTTATTGGATATGGTTATATGCATATGTCTTACCACGTGCGTGAAAATTATTCAAATATATTGACTGTTCTGTTTGTTCTTCTTCTCCTAATTTCTTTTTCCTTGTTGATTATGGCTGGCTGCTTGACTGGGGTTCCTGGTGGCAAGTGGGTTTAGTGCATTACAGAAGCCCATTAATCACCAGTAAGTTATTCATTGACGTTGCAGAACCATCATCAAAAGCGTTTGTAGTCCAACGGTTAGGATAATTGCCTTCCAAGCAATAGACCCGGGTTCGACTCCCGGCAGACGCAATTTTATTTTTTTACACTTTTCAGTTTCCACCATGAAACGTTTTTGCTCTGCCACTGATCGGACAAAATGCTGGTCCTCTGGGTCAAATCCAGAGAAATTCCACTGCCAACCCAAATTGATTGATTTTGACCGTTTTGGCAAGCAGATTTGGGAAACCTAACCAAGTGAATCATTCCTTCCTAACCTGCTATTACTTTTCTTCCCCTTTCTTGGGTCAATTGATGACAACACCATAAAGAACATTCGCCATTTCTGGACCTTCTAGATTCAGTGCTCTGCTCTCTCCTCAATTTGAACCGTTCATACCCTTACATCATATTATGGTGTTTCGATCCGTTGTTTTGCGTTTATCTAGTCTAACATCGAACATAAATGTTACGTACTAAAGTAAAGACGTTCGATCCAATTTGAATTCGATCCGTACGAAAATCGTATCATTGTCGAAATAGATGCTTCTAATCAAAACCCTTACCAAATATCATTATGTACAATCAAAAGATAAAAAAGATCACAGCCTAAATTGATAGCAAAATGAAGACAGAATATCCCAAATGAAGTATGATGTTTGTATGCTATTGAATTTAACACAACAAGATATGTGAAACTGATGTATAAGCTAAGAGAGATCAACAAGCTCTAAGCAAGCTCTTCAAATAACCCTCTGCTCCTCCCCTGTCTCGAGCCTCCCCTGTTCCGCCTCCTTCGCCGCTCGACGACTCCAATTGCGCCGCGCCCATCGACACATTGTCGCAACTCAATTCGGGCTTCACATCCTTACTGTTCCCACCATCATTACCCACAGCCGCCGCCGCAGCGGCTCCGGATTTCTTCCCGGGGTGATTCATCGTCCTCTGCATCGGCTCCGCCGCCGCAGCAGCCAGCTCCGGCCGGAAATTGAGCACGGCTTTCGCACCCCGCATCCGGAAGGCGGCCCGATCGTAAGCCAGCGCGGCCTCCTCGGCGGTCTCGAACGTGCCGAGCCACACCCTGGCGCCGTGGCGGGCCGAGTCGCGGATCTCGGCGGCGTATTTGCCCCACGGCCGGCGCCTGACGCCTCTGTAGTGGCGCTTGGAGATGACAGGCTGGAGATGGTGGAGCGAGTTCGGGTGCGAACTGCGGCTGGAGGCTTCGCTCATCATCTGGTAGATCACCATGTCCTGCGAGTCGTTCTCGCTGAAAGGCAGCTCGTTCTGCTGCGCCATGGCTGAAAGTTGGAAAACAGAGGATTTTTTTTTTTTTTTTGTTCTTGGGGGGAAGGAAAGGCGTCGAATTTTTGGTATTTTGAGTGCTTGGATTGAATTTATTGGGGGGAAATGAGGGTGGGATTGGAATTTTTTTGTTGAATGGTTGATTTGTTTATGGGAATTTATATGATTGTTTTGGATTGAGGGAAGGAAGGAGGAAAACAGGGGAGATGGAGACCAAAGGGGTTTTGGCTTTCTTTCTATATAGTGTGGTCTTTCCATCTTACTATTAGGGTTGGTGGGTTCTGGCCAATCTTATTTTTACAGAACCTGTGAAGCTTTTTGACTCGTAAGTAAAGCCACCATTGGAATTGATTTTTATACTATTGGAATTGATGAGTCGAATTGTCGAAACAAATGAACTTTTGTTCAATTTTAGTCTTCAAATTTAATTTGATTTTAATTCGATCTTGTCTCGATTTCATTTGATTCTCGGTTGAATAGAATGATGTTCATCCTTAATACTATATATGTATCTTTAGAGTCCTAGTTAAGTAATGTTTTGTAATTTGCTTCCATATTATTACTTTCCATGTCAAATTAATAGATTATTTAGGTACAAAATTATAACTAAGATAGGTCTTACCATATATTTGGTTTTTGTGGTATTTCATTTATGTAAAGGAAAGTTTGTATATTTACATTCGCACTTGTACTAACGGTTTGATTCGGTAATTTAGTTCAAATTTGTATAAGACTATCCTCATTCCCGTTGTATTCAGAAACCCACGGATAGTCATTCCCCACATCATTAATAAATCAAAATTCAAATCGAAAGTAGTGTAAAACACATATGATTTCAGAGTTCGAACTATAAGAGATAAAACCCATAACAAGTCTTTTTCAACAACTTGAGTTATTGGGATTTAGGATCAAGTGGTTTGTTCGTTAATACGGTATCTGAGCCTTCAACAGAAAGTTTATGGTTTCGAACCCACATGACGACCCCCAATTTAAATTTGTTGAGAAACTACAAGTCTAGTGGTTTAGTTGCAAATTAACTATAAAAACCCACAAATCGGTTTTCGTCAACTTGAGTTATTATGATCAAGTGGTTTGTTTGTTAACACAAATATTGAATGAACATTACATGTCATAAACTAATCATAAAGACTATGAAAAACACAACACAAGGAAAAAATTGTCTGGTGAGAGCAAGGATCAAGAGGTGGCACGTATGACTTATGGGGTTGAAAATTCAAAATCAAGAAGTTTATAGTTGTTTATGGAAAGACGAACAATGGATCAAATTTGGGACAACATTTCTTCTTTCTTTCAACATCAAAGGTGTTGATTCAGAGATGCAAACAAATCTTGTTTTCTCATCATCACCGTACCAAACAAGCAAATCTGGTAGTTTTCGACAAAGTCTGGATCTCACTTTAAATCGCTCGTGACTGCGATTGCTGCGGCTATAAATCGTCCCTGTCAAAAGCAACACTTACGTTGCAGATTATGGACATTTGACAGAGGCCAGCAATTAGCCATTTGTGCATGTGCAGACAAAAACGTGTTCACGTCGAGTCATCCTTGGAGATTGATAAAAAAAGGTGGCGAGTATGTGTTTGGTTATGAGATATCATATATGGTTGGTAGCTAGTCAAGCTTTGGAGAGGTTGGTACTCCGTCTGAGTATTACCCGATATGATTTGTGTTTAGCGTGAGCGGTATAAGTATTGAAATATCTGTTTCGTCTCATTGTCATCATTACCACAATATCTTCTGTGGAGTCGTCTTGCTCGTAATATGCAAAAGTTGTTCATTGTCTGGGTAAATAGAGTTACTGACCGAATATCCAAAGATATCAAGGCTCTTCGAGCATTTGGATTTCACTTTATTAATGATGTATCGAATCTTTCATTACTCCAACAATTAATTGTGTAAATTTATATTTTTTTGGGGCTTTGATACAATTAATAGTTTCTAATTTATATCTCAATATCTAACGAAAATTAGACAATATAGTAAACAATAGTAGCAGTTAGGAAATACTGGTTGTTTCTCGCCTTTAATAGTCGATGAGCAGTATACGATGTGGTAATGAAATATGGTGACTATCCAATAAAATAAACAAGACATAAATTTTTGTCATGTGGAAGTGAGATGCGGATTTATTCGGGTGATCCACAACTAATCCACCACCTACTCAAACAAGTGGGAATATAAGATTCACCGATGAATGACCCACTACGACTCAAATTATTTTCAAATGGATGTCAAACCATGAATTAACTACTCTCTTTCCATCCTAATTATAAAAAAAAAAACTGGTTAATACCTAATTATCAGTTTAGTTTTTTTTTTTTTTTTTTGCCAATAGATTCCTCTGAAAAAGAGGGCGAACAAAGTTCACAGATACAAGAAACCTATCTACTACGTAACTAAGCAACATAGTCGAACCTCGCTAACAAACGAGGCGACAAACCCAGAGCATGTTTTGCTACCGAATGAGCTACTCTGTTGTTCAATCTTCCAACAAATTGGAGGGATACCGAGGAAAGAACTTGAAGAAGCAATACAATTTCCTGAAGTAAAATCCCTATCTTAGAATTGCAGGTGTCTCCAGCATGACATTTGTCAAGAATAACTTTAGCATCACCTTGAATGTGGATATTCCGAAGTTGAGCCTGAGTACAATGCACCAGACAATCACGTAAGGCCAGAGCTTCAAGAACATATGGGACACTGCAGGCTGTATAACGAGTCGCTTTAGCAGCAATGATATCTCCAGAGATGTGTCAAATTACAAAAGCTGCTGAACCGGCCTCTCCCTATCGAGTACCTGCATCAAAAGATCCCACAAAATGCATATATGGCGGCACTTGAGGAGTATTGGAATGAATTGTTGCTGCTGAACTTACTGTATTGGGTTCCTGCATAAGGGCTTGTTCATTCTCCTGTACTTGGTGCCTCCATTGTGCAGCAAGCTCTTCCACACAGACCTACTTGTACTCAAAAACCACTTTACAACGATTTTTCCAGATCCTGCATAACAAACAAATTACCTGCAGGTAGAGGTAGTCCAAATCTTCACCAATTTCCTTGAACAACGAGTACCTGATGAAGCCTATGAAGGATCTTTTTTTCCAACGACCTAGATACCTATGCATACCCACCATCCTCCATAATCTTCGAGCAGTCGGACAATGGAAAAACAAATGCTCAATAGTTTCTTCTTTCCGACCACACACCGGGCAAATGGGAATGATATCCATCCCTCGCGTTACTAAAGCTTCACGAGTCGGGAGGATTCTGTGAACACATTGCCATAAGAAGAAGTGTAACTTTGGCGGAACTTTCCTTCCCCAAATCCAATTCCAAACAGAAGGATCCATGAACGCAATACGAGGTTTGGAAGGAATCGGAAGACAACGCCGAAAGGCAAGATGAAAAGCAGATTTTACAGAGAAAATCCCACTGGATTCATGGTGCCAAATTATTGAATCTTTCAAAATATTCTGAGACAGCGGAATCCCTTGAATAAGGGCAGCCGAATTCGAACCAATAAAATGCTGAATAGCCGCTGAAGTTCAAGTTCTATTACCAGGATCTATGAGACTAGAAACAAGTAGAGCAGGGTTAGAGATACCTGGAGCTGATTTGGGAATGATCGTTGGGTCACTTGGCACCCAAGGATCCTGGAAAGCACGGATTGAGACCCATCGCCTACCTGCCACCTGATAACCTCACGTAATAAGTCCCGACCAAAGATGACACTCCTCCAACCCCAAGAGGGATTACTCCCCAAACCAGCCCCAGGAAATCACCCGAATCCCTAAAGTACCGACCCCTATAAACCCTTGACAATAAATTCATCGGGTCCTTCAGCACACGCTACGCGACCTTGGCAAGAAGAGCCTGATTGAAGCAGCCAAACTGGCGAAAACCCAAACCACCTTCATGTTTAGATGTGCACAAGGTTTTCCAAGCTCGCTAATGAATACGACGTTGACCCTGAACAGCTCCCCACCAAAATCTTGCCATCAAAGCATTCAGCCTGTTGATCAAATCTCTAGGCAGCCTAAAACAAGACATGATGTAGATTGGAAGGGCCGCCGCCAGTGATTTCAAAAGCATCTCCTTGGCTGCAGCGGAAAGAGATCGATTTTTCCACCCTTGGAGCACAGCAATTAGTTTTTCCTCGACGAAACGAAAAGTATCCAATTTTGAACGTCCCAGCAATGAAGGAAGGCCTAAATAAAGATTTTGCAAGCCAAATGAGCCCACTCCTAAGAAAGCCCCAAGCTCCTCTTGGCCCAATTGACTGAGGTTTGGATTGAAACAAACGGCGGACTTGTGTAAATTAACCCGCTGTCCACTAATTTCTTGGTAATCACGAAGAAGACCCAAAAGACGATCACAATCACGAACAGAAGCTCGTAGAAAAAGGAATGAGTCGTCAGCAAATAATAAATGGGAAACTATTGGGCACTGAGGCCCCATCCGTACACCATGGAGCTCATGAGAATGAATAGCCTGCTTTATCATTGTTGTAAAACCTTCAGTGCATAATGCAAACAACAATGGAGAAAGGGGATCTCCCTGCCGTAAACCTCGAGAAGAAGAAAAATATCCGGAAGGGTGCCCATTCACTTTAACATAAAAAGTGGTTGTAGTCACACACTCACGAACCCAATCAATCCACTGAGAGGAGAATCCAAGTTTAGCCAAAAGGGTGAACATATATGGTCATTGAATCCGGTCATAAGCCTTTTCCGTATCCAATTTCAGAGCCATAAATTTTTCTCGCCCTTGTCGTTTGTGGGAAATGAAATGCATTGTCTCATGAGCAACAAGTACATTATCAACAATTTGACGATCTTGTACAAAGCCATTCTGTTCCGGGGAAATTAGATGAGGCAAGATAGAGCCTAATCTAGAAGCCATAATTTTGGTGATGACTTTGTACAGAAATTGACACAGGCTTATTGGACGTAGTTGAGAAACATGCTACACCCTTTCCACCTTAGGAATAAGAGTAAGCCAAGTATGATTCATATTTCGTAACAATTTCCCAGACTGAAAGAAAGAAGTAATAGCCCGAATCACACTGTCTCCAACAATTGGCCAAAATGCCTTAAAAAGCTTCCTGTGAAACCATCAGAACCGGCAGTCTTAAATTCTCCCATATGAAAAATGGTATTCTTTATCTTGTCTGGAGAAACAGCAGCCACTAGACGTTGGTTCATCGTAGGAGTGACCAAAGGTTGAATGGGCAACAAATTCACCCTTGCTTCTACCTGCTGGGCAAAATCAGAACTATTGGCCTTCGAAAGGAAAAGACCCTTGTAATAATCCACTGCAACGTGTTCAATTGTCGATGGGGTAGTCACCCATTCACCTGCTGCATTATAGATCCCATGAATCTGATTCCTTCGCAAACGTGATCGAGTAACCGTATGGAAATAGTTGGAGTTACGATCACCCACCTTTAACCAAGATACCTGAGACCTTTGTTTCCAAAATAGCTCCTCCGCAGCCTATGCCGAAGCCAACTCAGATTCAACATGATTCAAGGCTTCCCAGTCTACCGGGTAAGCATTCCTAATAGAAGTGACATTTGCACGCAATTCCTTAATAAGACGAGCTGAATTGGTAGTACCGAGTCGTGCCCATTGAAATAATCTATGTCTAGCCTTTTTCATCCAAGACCATAACTGGTAATTATCAGTTTAGTTCGAACAAAATAGTTCATAATTAGAGTATATCTCGGCTCATGTTTCTCATGTAGGTTTGGGCCCGAGTAGTTATCGGCTCCATTCTTTTAGGTACAAACTTTACGTCTTCATCCTCTTGCTTGTGGTAAATTGTTGGGTGGGCTAACTAGTATTTGTGGCTATTCGGTCAATATTCCATGTAAGGCCCGAACCATCTCATCTTGTCCGGCCCATATTGTTAAAATGAGTACTAATCTTCTATGTGCTAGGCCGCCAGCCCTCTACTCTATTTTTCTTAATCGATTTCCCTTTCTTGATTCACAAGCAACATTAAGTTAACTTGAACATTAATTAATACAAATCTAGAGCACCGTTAATAATAAAATAGTTCGAATATCCCAAAATAGTACAAAAATAATAAAGGAATCTTCAAATTATACGCAAATCTCTTCCAGATCATGTCTCATCGCCTTGGGTACTTGACATTTGTCTACATTCCTCGACATTTTTCGAACTAGTAGAAACTGATTTGCTAGGATATATTCGGTGGATAACGTACTCACGGAAATTTGCGAGGGTTGTAGTCATGCTTAGGCACTTAGATGTCTATCTCGGAGTAGGATTCTGGGATCAAACTTTATTTTCTAAAACCGCATAAATACCTCATAATGTGAGGGTTCCACAAGGCGGGTTGAATAATGGAACTAGATGAGTCAATTTTATTCAATTGTCTCCAAAATGAAGCAGTTCAAATTGCCTCAGCATGATTGTTGAATCCCTACTCTATGTTGCCAGACGAGGCGATTTTGTTATGACGAGACAATTCAGTCCTACTTTATTTTGCGTCAATTCGAATTGACAATAAGAGGAGGTATTTCGAAACGATGCATCGACATTAAACCGCACCACCAACATGTAATGATGCATAGAGCAACAACCACCCAAAAAAAACAACTTTAAGGTGGTTGATCAATCATAAGTGAATCATGTTTTTGTTTTATTCTCACAATCACAATGGCTCTTTCTGGGTATTTTCCTGATCAATCGTTAGTTACCACATAATTGTCTCCCTCCATGGCTTCCTTCTTCAACACTTCAAAAAAAAACCTAATAATAAATCCCAAGAACTAACAACCAACCGGCCACCCAACCCACTTATCTTCTTTTTACCGCCCGCCATTGGCGCTTGCACTTAAAGAAAAGAAAAGGGATTCTCGCAATGATTCAAGTTTTGGAAAGGAAATCACATCTACTCTCTGCTTTCTGCTGTATATGGTTGTTGCTGTTGGCGGGTGGTGGCTGGCTTGCTCCCATTCCCCAGCTCATATACTTAATACGTACTTCTTCCCTTCTCACATCTCTCACTTGTTCTTGTTCTTCCTTGTAACATCATTTGTACAACCAGAAGAACACATATGCTCTGGCTCACCAGGATCGAATAATGAGTACTGCGAGGTTCATCAAGTGCGTGACAGTTGGGGATGGAGCTGTGGGGAAGACTTGTATGCTCATCTCCTACACCAGCAATACCTTCCCCACGGTACTTTCTCGTATTGTCGATTTCTTTCAATCCTTTACACCGACACCTCGAAGCTGCAATTCAGTAATAAGTTCCCCCTTTTGTTGCAGGATTATGTCCCTACGGTGTTCGACAATTTCAGTGCCAATGTGGTGGTGGATGGCAGTACTGTCAATCTTGGCCTATGGGACACTGCTGGTATGGTGAATCAGTTCACAGATTTGCTGCCATGAGCAAATGACTATGAATACTTGATGATCTGTGGGTCTAATGGAGCTAATTGCAGGGCAGGAGGATTACAACAGGTTGAGGCCACTGAGCTACAGAGGAGCTGATGTGTTTCTGCTGGCTTTCTCCCTCACCAGCAGAGCTAGCTACGAGAACATTCACAAGAAGGTACGACGCGATTTCTCGCGCTCTCTCTCGATCCCCTTTTTGGGTTTTTTCTTTCATGTTGGAATTCTGATTCTGTTCTTGACATGATGATGAGCTGCTGATACACAGTGGATTCCTGAGCTGAGGCATTATGCCCCAAATGTGCCCATTTTGCTAGTGGGAACCAAACTTGGTAAGCCAATTATGTTGTGTACTCATCTATATCAGTTTAGCTTAAGTTTACTATAATGGAACAAAGTGAAAATCCTGATCTGGGTTTGTGTGTTGCAGATCAGAGAGAAGACGAACAGTACTTCATTGATCACCCTGGAGCAGCTCCCATCACAACAGCACAGGGAGAAGAACTGAAGAAAGTGGTTGGTGCTGTGGCTTACATCGAGTGCAGCTCCAAAACTCAGCAGGTACACATCTATTTATCAGCATGTTGATTAAGAAAAAGAATGTACATTCGTGTGTTTGATAGTGTTGTGTTTTGAATCAGAATGTGAAGACGGTGTTTGATACCGCGATAAAGATAGTTTTGCGACCACAAAAGCCGAAGAGGAAGCCACGCAAGCAAAGGACGTGCAACTTCCTTTAGCCTCCTCATCACAAACTCTCCATACAATATTCAAAATTACCATAAGCTCAACCCTATAAATATATCCACCTACTCAACTCGTCATATATTATACATGAGATAAAAAAAGGTTATGTTGTATATTCATCGATCCTTTTTAAGTCTTGATTTCGTTTCTTTTTCCGTATGAGATGCATAAATTGGTATATGTACATTCGGTTCAAAATTTTGTTTTTCAGTTCAATGCCTTTATTTTTCTCAATGGGTAATCCTCTTGTCCTAGCAACCGTTTGGAAGTGGACTTAACCTTCTATTTTACCAGTCTACAAAGTACAAACTTGCATCCAGCACTGTCACATTCCAAGCTCCCAAGCAAGCGATCTATTTGAGTCAAATGTTTCAACGTCAAATATTCAATTTTGTAAAATTATACACGTTCAATCAAAATATATTTGAGTCAAATATTTCAACGTCAAATATCCGATTTCGTAAAATGATACACATTCGATAAAAAAATCTCAATTTTTTTTACAAAAATTCAAACTCAAATGACTCGATAATATCTCATTATATAAGATCGACCGACCGACCGACCGACGAGATCAACAGAACATTCCCGCGCGTTGTTAATGAAATTGAGACTGGATGGTGTAGCCGTTCTTCAGGCATATTAGCAAACACCGGTTTAAATTGAAGGGCACAGAGTCACAGACAGAATCTACAATTAGAAAAAAGAAGCCAATTTTACAAAGGCCCTGTCTCTCTCTCTTTCCCTCTCCTCCCGTTTGTTTTTTTCTTTTCCTTTTTGGCTAATATCCGTTGCTCCGTAACGATGTGCCTTCCCCTTCCAATCGATGCGCCTTCGTCTTTTAGCTGTTAAGAAAGAAAAATCGAAATCATATCACACGAAACAAAGAAGGAGATAGGTCGGTGGTCGACGGCAGGGAAGAAGAAAAGAAGGGGGTAAAAGGAAACTTTCATAATGGGGGCGTATAGAGCCGACGATGATTACGATTACTTGTTCAAGGTTGTGTTGATCGGCGACTCCGGCGTCGGGAAATCCAACCTTCTGTCCCGTTTCACCAGGAACGAGTTCAGCCTCGAGTCGAAATCCACGATCGGGGTCGAGTTCGCAACTCGGAGCATCCACGTCGATGATAAGGTCGTCAAGGCCCAGATTTGGGATACTGCTGGCCAAGAAAGGTAATCTCGTTTTCCCCCCTTCTCCCTGCTCTCTCCGTCTGATTTTATCGCCTTTGTAGATCTCCGACGAGATTTCCGATGAACCCACGTTCTCTATTCTATTCCTTTCATAGTTCCCGCAATTGGGTACATTTTGGTTTTGATGCTTTGGTTTGGACCTCTCCCCATTCTGTGATTTTTTGCCTTTTGATCAATTGTGGATGGTTAGCTACAGAATTCCTCATCTGCATTTGAAAAAGCCATACAGATTTTGGGCATATATTGGCAATTAGTTGGAAAATGGTCATTGGCTTCTCATTGAATCGCCTTCTTTGTTTGATTGATTTGGTACAAACCTAGGAAGAGCTGTATTACATTATGGGATTTGATAATAGGGCACAATGCTGATGAGAGTTGTTTGATCGAAAATCCATCCGCCATGGTCTGTCTATTCAACCTGAGGTTGTTTCACAGCTATAAAAGTAGCCTCTTGGATATCTCTGTTGGAACAAATTGGCTGATGTCTTTCATTTCAATGAAAACCTGTCAAAACCTGGAACTGCAGACACACCTTTTGGACCACGTTGTTAAAATTTTCATCTTTTGCAATTGGGTTGTAGACCATTTTGTTAAAAGTTTCCCTCTTTTGCCTCTGGGATTCATTCATTTCTGGTTTTGCAATGAAGGTATCGAGCCATAACCAGCGCATACTACCGAGGAGCAGTGGGAGCACTGCTCGTCTATGACGTGACACGCCATGTCACGTTCGAGAACGTGGAGAGGTGGCTGAAGGAGCTCCGGGACCACACCGACGCCAACATCGTCATCATGCTCGTCGGGAACAAGGCCGACCTGCGCCACCTGAGGGCAGTCTCGACCGAGGACTCCAAGTCGTTCGCGGAGCGAGAGAACACCTTCTTCATGGAGACATCCGCTTTGGAGTCGATGAACGTGGAGAACGCATTCACCGAGGTGCTCACCCAGATCTACCGTGTCGTCAGCAGGAAGGCGCTGGATATCGGCGACGATCCAGCAGCATTGCCTCGAGGGCAGACGATCAATGTTGGTGGCAGAGATGATGTGTCTGCAGTTAAGAAGGCAGGCTGCTGCTCTTCTTAAAAGATTTTGGGGGTAAAAACAGAGCAATGGAGGTCAATTGTTCTTGTTCTGAAGAAGTGGAGAGTGGTGAGAGGTTTGAGAGCAAGATTGTTGCTCAAGGAATATGTATTTGTTTAGGTGATTGTATAATCTACCCTGTTCATATATACACGCACAAGTAAATTTAACTGTTGAGAACTGAGAATCCTAGTAAAGGCAAAACTAGTGTAGACCTGCTAACCAGAGATATCAATTTCAAATGTAGCAGTTCTATTTCTTTGCTTCCAATGTTCTATTTGGGGTTTCAACGTTGCTAATGAAGAACCAAACTAGTGTTTTCATTCACGTTAAGCATCAGCAGGGAAGTCTTATACAGCAAATCCAAAACAAACAGCTACTTTTACATTGTCGAAGGACCCCAGAAAGGAGAAAAACAGAGAAGATCAATATGTTACAAACCATTCAGGTCATTTCATTGCAAACTCAACATTATGCTAAAACTCATGTGTAAAACTGATCAAGCAAATTGCAGAGTCATGGTGGTTTTTGTCTGCATTCTTCATTCTTCATTCGCCTGCAAAACAGACATTTCCGTAGTCGATGATCAATTCAGAAGGATGAACACTGAAACCGACCAAATTCAGACAACTGAAATACAGGCAATGATCAATTCATAATCAGTGATCATAGTAGCGAGAAGGAGTGACCAATTTTCAATTTCTCAAAATCCAATCAGAAAGAGAGCGGAAACTCACGAGCCAGATTCAACGGCGAGCATCGGCATCGGCGGTCACAGAAGAGGAAGGGTTGTCATTGTTGTTGCTGTCGTCGTCGGGTTTGAAAGAGGGGAGAGGATTACCGCCTTTGATGACCCACCCGAGGGCGAAGAAGGAGAGGCCGGCGAGAATCGCCGAACCCCAGGCTTGGGAATACCACCTGCTATACTGCCTGATGGCGAATCGCCATTGTTCCCTCAGGGTAGCCGGGTCCGGGTTCCTGGAGTCGGGCGGGTTCGGGAAGTGGGGCTTTTGACCTAGGAAACCGGCGCTGCTTTTACCGGCGGGCTTGAATTCCGTCGGAGCTGAAGAAGAGGAAGAAGGGAGGTCCGTTTGAGGTGGTTTCTGGGGTTCAGTCATGGCGTTCGGATTTTCCGTTTGATTCTCTCTCAGATCTTCGACTCGGTGATTGTTTTCTTGTTTATGCGTTCCTGAGCTGCCATCTGTACTCCGGGCCGACAAAAGATGGACTTCCCATCATATCCAGAAAGCCCATTTAGAGGCTTTATGAAGGCCCAAATTTGTGGATTAGCTAATTGGAGAATGATCATGCCTCTGAGTATGTCTATGGTGAATTGGTGAATGAACAAAATGGTAGACCGAGAAAAAATTTAACGATCTGTCGGTTTCACGAACATGCCCATCCTAATGGAAAATAAGTTCAACAATTTACGTATGCTGGTTAAGCGTCTGTAAGGAACTCATAAGCAAAAATATCCACTATTCTAGTAAATAGATCGATCATTCCACAGAAAGTATCAACTCGATAGAAGAAAGCTCAATCCCAAAGAGTATCGCATCAACTGAAATATATATATATATATAATATATATATATATGGTGGTGTCTTCTGTTGATGGCGATCGGATTTTCCGTTTGATTCTTTCTCAGATCTTCGAATTGGTGATTGTTTTCTTGTGGATGCGCTTCTGAGCTGGCATCCGTAGTCTGTACTCCGGGCCGACAAAGGATGGACTTCCGGTCATGTTCGGAAAGCCCATTTAGAGGATTTATGAAGGCCCAAATTTGTGGATAGCTAATTGGAGAATGATCATGCCTATGTTAATGAGCCGAGCTATTCGTGAGTAGCTCGGTCTCGAACTCGATAAAAGCTCGTTCGATTAAAAAAAAAGCTCGGTTCGTTCGTGAAGCTCATGAACTCGTTCGATTAGGTGGCTCGTTAATACAACTCATGAACTGTCTCGTTTTGAGCTTATGAAATGTCCCAACATTGTGACTAGAGAGACAACTCGACTACCGCTTATGAGAAAATCAATCTATATTTTATGAGTTGGTTTGTTAATGATGCATATAATTATTAAACTGTATATATCACCTCATATTGTGTTTAATACATTGAGTATATGTAAGCAAATATGTCTCATATATGACATAACATTAGGTAATCACATGTATCACATATGACATATAAATATTAGGGTATTTATATTATAAATTATCTTAGAGGTGACCTAGAGCCGAACTTTCGATCTTAATGATGTATCAAGATTTAATAAATGAGTTGGCTCGTGTTCGACTCGACTCGTTTATAAACGAGCCGAACATGAACAAGGCAAAGCTCGGCTCAACTCATTAACAGCCCTACCGGCTACCTGTGAGTATGTCTATGGCGATTGAACATAATGGTAGACCGAGAAAAAATTTAACGATATGTCGGTTGCACGAACACGTCCATCCTAATGGAAAATAAGTTCAACAATTTACGTTTGCGAGTTAAGCGTCTGTAAGGAACTCATAAGCAAAAATATCGACTATTCTAGTAAAGAGATCGACCATTCCATAAAAAGGATCAACCGGATAGAAGATAGAAGAAAGCTCAACCCCAACGAGTATCACATCAACTGATATATATATATGGTGATGACTGGTGTACGTCAGGCGTATACTATATGTCAGGTGATCTAGCCGTTAGATGTGGTTAGATGAGCTCCGGCCGATCTCAACGGTCAATTTTTGTTTTTCATTAAATCAAATTTTTGTTTTTCTTTAGAACTCGAATTAGCAACATTTTTGGGCATGATACTATACCCTAACCCTTAATGAGTGAACCCTAGATCCTAATTATCTAAATCTAAACTATAAACTCTAAGATGGTGCATTGATTTTTTTGCCTATATTTGGACGAATCATAACAGTCGATTATTGTTTCTAATTAAATTGATCTTGGGGAATAAGATTTAGAGAATTAAGACTGAGATTTTGATCTTTAAGGGTTAGATTATAGTATCATGTCCGAAAGAGCAGCCAATTCAGGTTCTGGATATCATTTTCTTACTCAAAGTATGCGGTACCCCGGATTTTACCCTGGGTACCGTAGAACTCCCCATATATATATAGCAGGTGATCTAACAGTTAGATGTACTTATATGAACTCCGACCGATCTCAACGGTCAATTTTTATTTTTCATTAAATCAAACTTCGGGTTGGGGTTTAGAAAATCGGTGCCTGGGTTTATCCATACATTAATTCCTCAAATTAAAATTCAAAATCCGACACCTTAAGACTAGTTTTTGAGTTGGGTGCATTGAACGCACTCATTTTTGTGAGTGCACCGAAGTAGTCACCATATATACATATATGGTTTAGGCTAGCATACGCTCGGGCGTACGTTAAGCTACCGTACACCCGTATGAGGTTTGCTATTTAGATCATGAATTAACCGGAGTTTTGGGCATGATACTATACCCTAACCACTAATGGATAAACCCTTAATTTTCTAACCCAAATCGTGAGATTCGTTTAATCTTAAAATGAAAATCAACAATAATTTCGACAAATCAGAACCGTTGATTTTCATTTCAAGATTAAATGAATATCATGCTTTGGGTAAGTGAATTGCAGACTGGGATTCACCCGTTAGGGGTTAGGGTATAATATCATGCCCCAAACTCCGGTATTCATTGCCTAAATAACAAATTTCAAAGGGCACACGTTAGCCATATATATATATATATATATATAGATGTAACCAAGGCTGTCAACCCGCGGGTTGACCCGGACCCGGTCGAGTTAGTGGGTCAAGGGTTAATGGATCAACCATTTTAGTCCGGTTTGGCCCGAAAATATAGAAAGAGTCATTATATTGCACTTATCCTCATAAATTATATTAAATCTTATCTAACATATGAGTTATAACATATAATATTACACCAAATATTGAGTTAGACGAAAAGGAAAATTGGAAAATAGACGCATTTCGCAAACTAAAGAAAAAAAGACACAATTTGACCTCCAACCCGGTACCTAATAGCGATCGACCCGGCGGATGCGTGCGGCCCGTTTTTCTCACCGGGTCAGGGTCAAATTGAATCGACCCGTGGGTTGACAACCTTGGATGTAACGGACAACATCATACTAGAACATGTCGACAATCGACTTCTTACTAAAAAACAATACAACTTTTGGAGTTGCTGTCTATTCCAATCAACCTCTATACACTTCTGCACCACATCAAATCAAGAATATCATACAACAACAAGCTAGCATAGAAATTCACAAATTCAATCCACAACCAGAATCATTAACAGTAAAAACTACAGTTGGTCGACCATTTTGTCCAGGGTTCACAGATCAAACAATATGAAAAATATTTTTTTTATAAACTATGGTGATGACTCCAAGAAAAATCCTTTTGACAACTAGTGCGAAATTGGCCACAACAATCTATGGGACTAAATCAAATCCTGACAACTGAAATAACAATACTGTGCAAAACCAAAAACGTCGAAGGAAAGGAGAAAATGAAGTATAGAAAATCCACAAGCCAGAGCCTCTGACTAAAAAGCGAAACAAATCAACACCATGTTGTGTATTAACTGTGCTGCATACCAAAATACCGCTTTGATGCTGGTACAATAAGCGTCAGAACGAAATAACAATTATAAACTAAGCAGGGCAACTTTCTTCTTCAGTACTAATACGGCTGCCTACCCTTCTCCATCCTGGGGAGAATCACTTCTTAGCTTCTGCCTTCTTCTGCTCTTTAGCTGAAATGAAATCGACCGAATTCAATTTGATTAGTTCTAGTTCAACTGCACACTACTCTGTAGATGATCACAAGACCAAACAAGCTGAATGATGTGGAACACTTACCAGCCTTCTCCTCTTCTCGTTTCTTGGCAGCTTCGGCCCTCTGCTGGCGAATGAGAGTTAAACGCTCTGCAATTTGAACACGAAATCCAGAGTGAGTTAGTAAAGCGTAGATCATGGTAAAGTGGCCATCTTATTCCCCTATAATCTTATCAAGCTTACCCAAGTCCTTCCTAGCTTGTTCAGTTTTCCCTTGCTCTTGGAGCCTCATGTATCGCTCATGTGCCCTCTGCTTCTCCAACTCCTCCCTGCAAAACAACAGGATGAAAAATTAGAATTTCATTCCCACTGGTTTTCTTGCTAATAATCTTCAGCCAGGCAGGTTACAAATTCTCAACCATGCTAAAAGGATAAAGCTGAAACCAGTATCTATATCAAGCTACACTACAAATGACGTAACTGATTCCTTAGGCGGCAATGCTCTTTTCCTTCTATATTGAATAGGATAAAACAGGTATTGTCGAAAGGGAAACCAGAAGCATTCACAAACCACTAACCTTTCACGCCTAGAAAGCTCAGTTGTTTTCCCCATCTGCAAACAATACACCGGTTATTTATCGATCATTGGAAAACACATAATTGCAACCATGTCTAACAACTTACATCAAGATCTTTAGCCTTCAAATTCTTTGGCTTCACCAGATTTGGGTTCTCAATTGAGATGAGACCTTCAGTTCCTTTTCTCCTTTGCTAATACCAATCAACAGTAAGAGATCGACGAGTATCAGTATCAGGGGATGATAAAGTTAATACGATCACTACGAAAAGTCAAACAGCCAAGGATCACTAACATCAGACTCTTCATCTCCAGATTCCTCTCCAGACTCCTCACCTGATTCTTCCTCAGCTTTCTCCTCCTCATATGCAGCTTCCTCCTATTGAAGCATGAAGGGCCCAATTGTTTAAAAGGAAAGGTAAAACTAAGAGCAAAGACCAACTACATAAAGAAGAAGAAGAACAAGAAGAAACAATATGCTGATACAGTAGAAAAAAGTTTCGGAGACAGACCCGTTTGAATGTTCTCGGGCGTGAGGAGCTCCCAGAAACTGGAATCATGTAGACCCATCAACCAAAAAAGTTAGCTTCACCGATAGTACTATGCGTTGCATAAATAGATAAACGAGAGCAGAATGACCCTCATGAATTAGTGCCAAGCTCATCCACAGATTGAAGACAATAGTCTACCTAGCTAGAAGTTGAATTGATGTTTAATAAAGAAAAGCTCACCACTTTCTGGTCAAATTTGCAACCTACAAGTGTAACTAGATATTGGACTTTCAAAGCTCCTATTGGATTCCCAGTACACTACTGCAGGTTCATCCCTATGTTGAGGATTTCAACTTACATATCACTGGCCAACAAAAGCCCTAATTCCCCACTAAAAATCTTTCATCTATCCACCACGACTTAATTTATCACAAAGTCAAAACAACGGTAAGCCCTAATTAGGAAGAGGAGGAGCTTACGCATCTCTTCGGGAGTCGAGAACTGGCGTTTCCCGGTGGGCTTCCCCTTGAACTTTCCTCGTCCCATGGTGCTCCGACCGCCGGAAAAAAACAACAGATAGGTGTTATTGAGTACTAAGAGCGGCGATTCCAATCAGACGGAGCTCGATTCCGACGAGAGTAAAAGCCGATCTGATTGAGTCCCTCGAAGAAGAAGAAGAAGAAGCCCGCGCTCGTCTCCTCAGATTCTATTCGTTTTTATTTATAGAGAAAAAGAAAGAAATAAAAAAGATGGGAGAAGCTGAGATAGGGAATCGAATGGTTTTCCCGTTTCTCGTTCTGTAATCGGAATCCAAAAACCCTAGTGGGGAAGAACAACTCTTCTTTGGTGGAGGGACCAGGATCTGGTGCGATTCACCCCATGGAAAAGCAAGCCAGTGGTGCGATTACGGACGTACACGTGGAGAGATTCTTGTAAATGGCCTTTTACCCCCAACGAAACGACGTGTTGTGGGCATGTGGCCCGGTTGCCTCAACAAGTGACACGTGGCATCCTTATTTGTTTTTCTACCGCGTACATTTTCAGCACATTAGTATTCTTTTTTTTTATTATTATTTTGCAACACATTAGTATTCTTCTCTCACGCGGTGGCGCCTATTTGTTTTGTACAAGAATAATAATTATAGAAAGATTGAATATGTGCATACCACATTGGCCCTATTAGAGTTGCTTGTATGATTGGATCGATCCGTGCTACAATTTCATGTTCATTTTCATCGTTCGTCTTTCACATTTGATGATTTATCTTGCAATCGGCAAGAATAATAACTATTCAATGATCGGCATATTCACTATGGTATCAAATTTTAAGTTGACATTTCATAGTGGATAGATATGGTTTCAACTTCCAAATTTCATGGCATAAATGACATTTGAATGTGTTTTCTTGTTCAGTTTGACGTCATAACTTTTTTGCATGGAATTATACTGTCATTTGTAAGAAATAATTATGACTAGATTCTCTCCATACAATTTTCTCGTACAACTCATGAAATAAGTAATTGCTTTGTTACCTTAAAAATGTTTGTTGATTTTTCTATGTAAAGCACTATGAAATTAAGTATTTTCTCCATCCAGTTTTTCTTCTTTACATCATTCTCCAAAAGTTTAGCCATTTCCTCCCAAATCAATCCTTCGATATGGCTTTCTTTGGTGCATCGAACTCGATATCATTCAATTCAACTCCCAAGGGAATCGAATGGTTTTCCCGTTTCTCGTTCTGTAATCGGAATCCAAAAACCCTAGTGGGGAAGAACAACTCTTCTTTGATGGAGGGACCAGGATCTGGTGTGATTCACCCCATGGAAAAGCAAGCCAGTGGTGCGATTACGGACGTACACGTGGAGAGATTCTTGTAAATCGCCTTTTACCCCCACGAAACGGGCTAGGATCAGGTGACTAAGGGGGGTCCCCTTAGTCACATGGATAAGTGAATCTCAGCCACACAACTTCATTAAAATCCAAGGGCTCCTATTAATCCAATTTAATGAAGGGCAATGTAGTAGTTGCATGTTTATTTTTTATATTTAATTATAAAATGAATACAAAATTTCAGCAGCCCCGTCCGCCCGCCGCCTCCCGTCTCCGTCCGGTTGTTCGGCGGTGGCTCCCCTCGGCAGGAGAGTTCTCATGCGCCATTATTTCAAGAATAATTCTCAGGCGAGAATTTCCCAGTGGTGGATGGGAATTGTTTTGGCGGCAGGGATGGTAATTAATTGGCCAGAGAGAGAGAGAGAGATAGAGAGAGAGAGATTTCTGGTCGGAAAATTTTTCCGGCGACCATTTCCCGGCGACAGTGCTGCTTTTGTAATGTTTGTTGACATATTTTGTAATGTTTGTATGCTTTGTTATTTTGTAATGTTTGTCGGGTTTTTTTGTAATGTTTGTAAACTTTGTTATTTTTGTGCACCATGTTTGTAAACTTTGTTATTTTTGTCAACCATGTTTGTAATGTTTTTTATGTCTAAAAAACAACCTGGTTGACTTTTGATGGACCTCCTTTATATAGGGATGGAGCCTCCAAAGTCAACCCGGGTGTTTTTTCCAGTTCGTATGAATTGTCAGTCTAGTTTGTCATTTTTGTCCACCATGTTCGTAATGTTAGTATGTCTAAAAAACACCCGGGTTGACTTTGGGAAGGAGCCCCTCTATATAGGGATGGAGCCTCCAAAGTCAACCCGGGTGTTTTTTCCCGTTTGTATGGATTGTCGGTCTAGTTTGTCATTTTTGTCCACCATGTTCGTACTGTTTGTATGTCTAAAAAATACCCGGGTTGACTTTGGGAAAGAGCCCCTCTATATAGGGATGAAGCCTCAAAAGTCAACCCGGTTGTTTTTTCTTTTTGTATGGTTTGTATTGTTTGTTGGTCTAGTTTGTATTGTTTGTACAGTTCATACGTTTGTAATGTTTATAAATCAGTTTGTATGTTTTGTCGCTCTAGTTTGTATTGTTCGTATGTTTGTATGGTTTGTACTGATTATAAATCCGGTTTGTATACTTCGTAATTTTTCATAATACCCAAACTACCCCTGCCATTAATTAAATAGCCCTTCCCACTTTTTAACCATTGGATTGAAGTGTCCAGATCTAATGGCTAGGAGGGGCTTAGCCAAGTGACTAAGCACCCCCCTTAGTCACAAGATCCGCTCTCCCACGAAACGACGTGTTGTGGGCATGTGGCCCGGTTGCGTCAACATGTGACACGTGGCACCCTTATTTGTTTTTCTACCGCGCACATTTTCAGCACATTATTATTCTTTTTTATTATTATTTTGTAACACATTAGTATTCTTCTCTCGCGCGGTGGCGCCTATTTGTTTTGTACAAGAATAATAACTATAGAAAGATTGAATATGTGCATACCACATTGGCCCTATTACAGTTGCTTGTATGATTTGGATCGATCCGTGCTATAATTTCATGCTCATTTTCATCGTTCGTCTTTCACATTTGATGATAAAACGATACAAATGCGAATTATGATCCACCTTGCAATCGACAAGAATAATAACTATTCAATGATCGGCACATTCACTATGGTATCAAATTTTAAGTTGACATTTCATAGTGGATAGATATGGTTTCAACTTCCAAATTTCATGGCATAAATGACATTTGAATGTGTTTTCTTGTTCAGTTTGACGCCATAACTTTTTTGCATGGAATTATACTGCCATTTGTAAGAAATAATTATGACTAGATTCTCTCCATACAATTTTCTCGTACAACTCATGAAATAAGTAATTGCTTTATTACCTTAAAAATGTTTGTTGATTTTCCTATATAAAGCACTACGAAATTAAGTATTTTCTCCATCCAGTTTTTCTTCTTTACATCCTTCTCCAAAAGTTTAGCCATTTCCTCCCAAATCAATCCTTCGATATGGCTTTCTTTGGTGCATCGAACTTGATATCATTCATTTCAACTCCCAAGGGTATTGCCCCAAACCAAGATTTTCTTGTAATGATGACCCACTCCTCAGCCTTGGACTTGCTTGTTCGAATATTCCCACGCCAATTCCGCTCTACGAGAAAAGAGCATTCGAACACTTTTATACCGGGTCTGTTTGGTGTCAACAAACTCATCACAAAAAGTCAGAAAAATGTATGTTACCACATACAAATCCGTAGCACGCAATCCACATGAATATGCCGTGTACTCTGAAACAAAATTGTTTTTGAAAGATTTTGTTGTCATCTTAAAAATAAATAAAAAATTATCGAGTATTTCTTCCCATCCCCTCCAATTTCAAGTCAACACCATTTACTTTTGACCAATGCATCTCATCACTCTCAAACCTCTTCAACCATGATTACATTGCCCCCAATACCATGAACCATCCTTTCTCATCCAAATTTGTGCCTCCCACCGACACCCACTTAATCTTCTGTTCTAAAACTTGATCTCCCGTTGCTAAAGGTGTATATTGCTCCTAATGAACGACGGGTTTGATTCACTATGACACATTTGAACTTTGCTTTAATCATGCTATTGGATTTACTCATAACCAGCCATTTGGGCCAACTCTAGAGTTATATAATAATTAATTATTTGGTTTGGTCCAAATGTAAGTTCTAGTAGCCCATTCGGGCGTCTAAGTTCAGGCGGGTCTAATTAGACAGTTCTCTCTACATGCCAAAAGTAAACATTTCGAAACCTAAAAATAAGGGCATTTTGGTGAAATCGATGTTCGTTGTTTGTAGTAACGAAGATAAGTGGAGGGCATGGTAGTAATTTCCTCTACTCCGTGTATTTAACCCGTGTTAATCATCGCAGCTATATGCTTCTATCTATATCTCTCTTTCCCTCTTCCTATTGTGCCCTGCCTTTACTACCTTGGTAGATTTTCTACACCGATATGAAACATTAGTGCCTCCCATAATCGTCGTGCATGTCATCCCCGTTGTTCATCGATCTCAACCCCATTCTCAGCTTCTCTGGCGCCATTGTTTATCTTGGCCTCTATCGCTTGTTCAACGAAGAAGGTAGAAAAGATACAATTGTTATTGACTGAATCATATTCCTCAAAAGCTACAATTGCTACAACATGTAATGCATTGTCGCTTCTCTGAATATGTTCCAGTTTTAGATCTGCACCGGGTTTCTATGCCTTTTTGTTGTTTCCCCGGCGATTCAGAAGTTTCGGTGATTTTTCTATGGTGAACCAAGACGTTTTTTTTTTTACATCATTCATAAGAGGAGGCCGAGCCGTGGAACGTGGCAAAGGAGGTGGCATGCAGATGCAGTTGATAAAGTGGACCAAATGGCAAACTTGTAAAAAAAGTAAAACCAGTAGGGGTGTTTAGGGGAGTTTGGACAGGTGTCAGTACGAGAGGCTTTATTTATAAAAAAAATGTAATTGAATGTAATATTTTGCAATTCATCATTTGATTAGATTATTTGTTAATGTTAATCTTATCTCAAATATGTTATCTACCATGTAAAAAGAATTGATTTTTTTGAGGACACTCAAATCGATTAAACAATGTAATTACCACCAAACACATTAAAATCAATACAAACAAACGGTGCAATTGTTTAACATTCAATTATGAATTACATCCTCCGAAGCATAGGAACTATAAATCTAAACGAGGTGGCTAATAATTTAAGCTCGGAGAATTTGAATTGGCAAGAAACTAAAATCTTATCAGCTACTATATTTCTCAAATCTATTACAAAATTTACATGCTTTTGAGAGTGAGGAGACTATAGTTTCTCCAACCATCAACGCAGCTTTACCACTAATATCCTCGCAAATACATAGAACCATACATTTTTTTGTATTGATGAGATTCGGATCTAGTTGCTAAACAACACAATTTTAGCTAATCAATCGGAAAAATAAAAGATTTTTTATTTCAAATCTTTCTGCCAATATGAATAAGCATTGTAAAGTTCATGATCGTGAGCTGATATATCGACTTCCCTCTTAACATGTAGTTAACTGATATTGCTTATGGTTTCAATTGGTTTCTTTGGGGAATGGATCAGGTGAGTAACCTTATGGTGAATAACTATGAGTAACCCGCCTACATCAGCATGACATCAGCATCCTCTCTCTCCTGGAAAGCCTTTAATTTTCCCCTTCTTAATATTTGACGGACGATTTCTCACTCGTTTTAAGTCGAAATTTAATTTTTTTTGCACAGTTAGATCAGATTAATTATGCTCTTCAAAATGATATCCACTTTGATATATTTTTCGAACAAAAAAAATTGAGCCATTTTATACCAGTCTATACCATATGGTATTGACTGGTATTGAAATAAGAGCATACATATGGTTTGAAAAGCGTACCATGGTGGTATGACACAAACCAAAACTGTAGGATGGTTGAATACATGATAGTAGAAGTATATTAATTGTCATTTACGACTTTTAACATTGTATACCATAAGATACCATAAGATACCACCCCGTACCAGGGTGGTATTGTATGGTATTGTGTGGTATTTTTTTGTCTTGTAATTTGTTCACCCAGAAATTTGTAGATCCAATAGATCATGATGAACTCGTCCCTGCTGTGCAAACGTTTTCAAAAACGAATTAAAAACGAAGAAGATACCATATGGTATGCAGTTGGTACTGAGAGGCCAGAATTTTTTTTCCTCAAAAAAATTGAAAATTGATCTCATTTTGTAGAGCACGATGAACTCGTTCCATCAGTGCAAAAAAAATTAAAATCCGAGTTAAAACGAAAAAGATATGAGTCAATTAAGAAAGCTAGTGAAAATAAAAATGACATTTAATTCTCCATCCTTAGATCTGGATTTTCTAAATGAAGGGTTCAGATTTGGTTATTAATGAGTACATAACTCATGGTTATGCACCCTAACTTGAGCCGTTTCTTTGGGTCCAAATAGATTATCACCACTCCTCTTAATGACATTCTGAGCTTTTAAATCCATGTCACGCAATCTATTTCCAAGGTAAGTGTTATAAAGCCATATATTTGACCTAATTGAATCCCGATTCTCCGACTAATCCTTCAACCATCTCAAAGTTCCTACTGTAAATTGATTCGACTCGGACTCATTTCATCCAACCATCCAAACATATTCATATAGCGTTCATGTTCACACTTACTATACAATTTAGGTATCAAGCAAAGCCTGTAACTTATGAACAAACTCCTTAACATACCGATCTTCAACCCCAACGCTCAAAACGAACTCCCGCCACTTCCTATGGTTCTCCCTCACCATTTCCCCGACCACACTCCCTTCCTCCATCACCAATCTCACCGCCTCACAAACACCTCCTCTTGTAAACTTCCCATCCTCCTCCCTCTTCTCCACCTCGACTCCGACCTTCAGATCCCCGCCCATCAACCTCGCGTTGATGATCTGATCGCCGGCATTCGGCAGCAGCACCAACTGACAGTCCGTCACCATCGCCTCCGACAGCGAACCCGACCCGCAATGCGTCACGAAGCACCCGACGGAAGGATGGTCCAGTATCAGCTGCTGCTGAACCCATTCCCCTGTCACGAACCCTCTGCCTCTCGTCCTGTCCTCGAACCCTTCAGGGAAGGCCGACTCGATCGGGGATTCGGCTCCGATGAGCGGCTTGGTCGCGACGAGGAACGGGCGGCCTGTCAGCTCGAGGCCGAGGAGCAGCTCCTGAAACTGGTCTTTTTCTAATCTGCATTCGCTTCCGAATGAGCAGAAGACCAGGGCGTTCCGGCTGAATCCGTCCAGAATTCTTGCAAAGTTGTCTTCTAATCTTGATTTCGGCGATTCGGGGACGACTGGTCCGGCTAGGATTACTGGTTTCTTGAACTGCTGCTCGATGTACCTACAGCAGGAAGAACACAGTTGGCTAACTAACTTTGCTTTTCTTTAACGATCAAGTTAGCTAAATTGCTTAAAGTTCATGAAAGAACCTCGATTTCGATTTCGACTTCGACTCGGAGAGAGCCCTACCTACAGTAAGGTCCTTCCATCTCCACGCACGTCTTGAAGCTAATCATGTCACACTCTCCAAAACAGAGCGACATTCTCTCCGTAAATGAATCACGGCCCTCGCCAAATTCGGCAAACCCTCTAGCTTCAAAGGCTTTCAATCGAATTGACGAATCTGGGAAATTGATCGGCGGTTTCATCAGCTCCGACGCGGTCAGCGACCTCTTCTCTGCTTTGAGATTGCTGTTTGGTGGCCTGAGCAAGTACCCAACGGCGGCTGGGCTGATTGTGCAGTAATGCAGGGACTTAATCCCCAGGTCGCGGGCTAGTAACGGCAACCAGTGGCTGAAATCGTAGAAGACGAATTGTGGTTTGAGGTTTCGGAGGTGGGTTTCGATGACCGGTTTGGTTTCGTCCATTGCGGTCAGTAACAGGGGATGTGACTGGAAGGGGACGTCGGCGGTGGTTTCTGCACCGGCGGGGAGGCCGTCGATCTGCGGGACGGGGATCGGGATGAAGAAGATGAGATCCCGGTGTCGATTCAGCGCCTCGAATCGGGTTCGGGTTTTGGTGGGGAGGAGGAAGAAGATCTTGTGGCCTCTCTCTGCGAGCTTGTTGGAGAGGTGGAGGAAGGAGGTGATGTGGCCCAGGGCGAACCATGGGTACATTGCAATTTGGAGGGAACTGCTTGAGCTGGGCGCCATTGCATTGGGGAAGAAGATTGAGGAGTAAGGATTTTTTTGGTTTCGGGTAAAGGAAATAATTGATAAATTCCAGCCATTTTTATCATCTCGGAGAGCTTTGAAAGAGGAGAGTGTGAGCTTATGGCTATGGCGGAAACTATTTATGGATGGTGTGAGAATTCTTGGCACGTCAATCCATCGTCATCCATGGGATTAGAAGAAAGAAAAACAATGGTTATTTGGTCAAATGTTCTCTCCCTGGAATAGCTGATCACGAAAATTCTCCAACGGAGAAACACCATTTATGCGGTATTTTTAGGCAAAATGGTCCAATAAAACATCATATTTACGACTTTAAACAGAGATTAGTTCGTATACATAATAATCTATTCTAACCTTAAATGAGTAGCAGTCAATATATGATGCCAAACAGCTACACACCAGGGTAACAGTAGTCATTGGAATGGTCTTGCCAGTGCAAAGTGTTTATCCTTAATTGACATCAACAGCTCGATAACGACTACCTCATCCGGAAGCTCGATATTCAGCCTAGGCTCGATGAAACCTGGTATAGCAAGAACAAGAAGAACGAATGAGAGTTGGTCATCTCAGTGCAGTAAACAGCAGCAGAAAGTAACAAAACTTGTGGTAGTCTGGTAGATTATTGATTCAAGATTAATACCGGGGGTTAGCTTTCTTCCACCGTAGAGTTCCTTTGCTAAGGGATTGGCTGCCCACTGGTTTACTCCCACTCCACTTGTGGGCTGGAAGCCAACCAATTTTCCATCAGTCGACAGAACTACCTAAACGAGATGCATAATTACATAGGTAAGTGACAAAAATGGAGCAGTTACCAAACAAGTCTCCATGAAACTGCTGATACAAATTATGTTCATCATTCAATCAAAGGTGATGACACTTTGCCACAGACCTGGTTGGTAGAGTGTTTCAAGGCTTGGGAGCAACTATAACTATTGTGGGCTCACTGTTCAATTACTACTGCACATGGATCTTTACCAGAAAACACAAACAAGAGGAATGAAACCAAGGTTGATCAAGTTTGAAAGTACCTGATAACTAGCAATGTCTTGCACGGATGATTTTGCCTTCTCATCAATATGTTGTATCGTTGAGAAACCAGTTGATAGCCCTTCAGAGGTAGAATCATCAGTTGCCGCAGTCATTTTCAGATACTCCGGAACTTGGCCAATCCAAGCACCAGCATTCAAGTCCGTCATTATGTCCCCGTGCCAACCAAATGCATCCTTTATCCTTTTGATCACCGAGACACAACATTCATTCAACTGCATAGTGGAAGTCAAAATTTCAGCATAGAGAAAAAAGAAACATACACATAGGATAAAAAGAAAAAGAGCCAAAGGGTCCAGAAGATAGTGCATAAGTTCCATAGAAGTTTCTCACAATCACACCAATCATAATCAAAATGAGTTGATATAATAATTACAGCCAAGTAAGTTCATACCTGTTCTGTATTCACAGATTCATTTATTATATACTCAGTTTCAGACGTCGAAAGTGATCTATGTTCTTGAACATGCTTTTGCCTTTGACGTAGAAAAGAGAAGCCAAACTGACCCGCAGCAGCTAATGTAATCAGAAAAATTCCACTTGCCAAGGCTGCTGAAAGGGTTTTCATCAACATTGAATTCCTCTGTAGTAAAATGAATCAATCAGCATCCCATTAATGGAAGCAAAAATGCAAAATGTATGTCGTGACGTTTCAGAGGGAAATGCTTACTTACCCTTTTCTCTGACAAATTAGCAACATTTGCAACAGTACCACATGACAATTCTTTACTAGGTAGCGAATATGCATCATCATAATACATGTCCAGTATTTCAGCCAGACGAACCTATCAAAGACAAATAGAATAAGGATTCAAACGAAAGGGAATATTAATTTATATTACCATTTACCACAAGAAAGAGCACCAAGCAAATCATCCATTTGCTAAACAACACAAACACCCAACATAAGCAATTTGAATTACCATTTGGGAGTGCGTTAATAGAACCTCGAACTTGTTATCCGGCAAGTTCCTCCAGCCTTCAAATTTGGCATCCATGGCTTTATCAGCATCAACTTGCAGCTTATAAACAGGTACATACTCACTCACCCAAGCACTGAACTCAGAACCACCAAGACGTTCCAACTTGTTTTGTGCCGAGGGTGTCCACCAGCTGTACCTCTGCTTCCTTTTCATACCCCTAAACATTTCCTTGGTTGAATTGAACTTTTCAAGTAAAGTCTCAGCATTTTCAACGATCTCATGTTCAAGCAACTGGTAAATAACAACTGAAGAATCTCTGGAAGTTATCCCACTTCGCTTTCCAAACCAGGAGAAGATGTTGTTGGGAGATTTCCCCAAGAAGCCTCTCAGAAAACTTGTTTCTGTACTACGAAGAGCAGCATTGGCGACAGCTTCTGCTAGCACAGAGATAATGCGATCGTCCGATGAGCCGAGGAAGAATGAGGTAGCAACCTGCTGATACGAAGAAGAGAACTGAACCTATCAGTACAAGTTGGAGACCTGCACGACAGACACCACATCAAAACAGCAACAACTATGCATAGATTCAGGCGAAGAACAATGGAATGCGATGTGAATTGATATTAGACGCCCAACCTCTCTGGGAGTCTCGAGATCCTCCATATCTCGCTCGATTCCAGGCCCAAACAACACAAGTTCAAAGTTCCATAGCTGTTGCAAGACGACTTGTCTAAATGTCAAGGCGAGTATGTTCTGGGAGCTCACTCCAGATAGAACATCCTCCTTGAAACTTGCTTTGAGCTTGCGAGCTTTTGCTCTCACTCTCTCCGCAGGCAAAAACTGTTTGAAAGTTCAAATCTATTACAACTCTATGAAGGAGAATTCAGCTGCCAATTCGAAACAGTGAGAACTACTGACCAATCGAGTGGAGACGGTGGCGTGCTCGTCGGAAGGTCCAGGGGAAACAGTCTCGACGACCATAGCGGACATGCCAGACTGGATGTGCTCGGACGCAGCTCGACCTCCGTCGGCGGCAGCGGCGGTGAGAGCCTGCTCGACTCCGACGGAACCTACCAAACTCAGCCGCGCCAAGTCATTCTCGAAGGTTCTGACGCAAGGGAGAATCCGGTCGTTCGATTCCGCCACGAACTGCAGGATTTCCTGTTCGTCCACCGCGTGCCGGCTTGGGGAAATGCAAAACAACGCCGGGAAGAAGTTCCTGGACTTCGCTAGAGGAAGCTTCGGGAAGAAACACGGAACAGCCACCGCCGATTCCCGCCGCAGGAGAAGCGGCGACGGAAATGGAGAAAGGCAGTAGGTCGAGGAGGAGGAAGCAGCAGCCATTTTGAAGCTTCCTGACTTCCTGTGAATCGGAATTTTTCCCCCAAATAAGGAAGAAAGGGTTTATGAGGTTTTTCCAATTTTGATAGATAAATGTAAAACAAACTATCATCTAACGGCGTCGTTTCACTGGATCTGCCCGACAGCCGATTTATAATAGCGTGCGCGTGTCTTGCAATCGCTTGACACGTATGAATGAAAGCTACGCGGGTGTAGTAGTTTTGTCTCTTATCTTCTGATTCTTCACCTAGATCAAAAGAAAAGGGATTAGGGTTCCAAGCTCCGCCTCCGCTCCACGATTGAGAATAGTAAGAATCGCCATTGTTCTTCCTTCGTCTCTATAGATGAATCCTGAGCTTTTGTCTTCGTTTTTTCCCCCCCGTTGATACAATCGCCCTTTTGGTGTTTGCAGGTAATCGCCTCGCTATCGAAATCGCCGTTGAATTCAGGTGATCGCCGATCTCGCTAGGTAATTGTATGTCGTCTTAATCATAGATAGCGAATAAATCCTAGGTTTCGAGAAAGGAACTGCTTGGGTCGTATGTAGTTTCATGAATTCAATCCTGGGGACTTTTTGCGGTTATGGTGTTGATTTCTGAGAATATGTGAAGGGATCAGCGAATGAGGGAGGGGAGGAGAGCGAGAATATGATATGATTGTAGATAGCGAATAAGCCCTAGGTTTCGAGAACAGTACTGCTTGGGCTTATCTAGTTTGATGAATAATGATCATCCGTTCAGCAGTGTAGAATTCATTCCTGGGGACTTTTTGCGGTTATGGTGTTGATTTATGAGAAATCTGTGAAGGGATCGGTGAATTAAAGGAGGGGAGAAGAGCGGGAATATGATATGCATGGTATCTCCTTTGGTTAAAACGATTTTCGTATTGCTTGTTGCAGGAATTAGACATGGGAAAGAGGAAGTCGAAGGCAAAGCCACCACCGAAGAAGAGAATGGACAAGCTGGATACTGTATTCAGTTGTCCCTTCTGCAATCACGGAACAAGTGTCGAGTGCCGCATGTAAGGGTTCTTTCAGTTCCTGGAGCTTGGGATGAATCATCTCAGTGGAATGGTATTTCATCGTTTTGGTTTTCATATTAAATTGTTTGAATGAATATTGTTCAGTGATATGAAGAACATGATCGGTGAAGCTTCGTGTGGTATCTGTCAAGAGAGTTTCAGCACCACCATCTCAGGTATTTGCGAATCTTCTGTAGAATGCAGTGTCTGATTGTGTATAGCCCAAATAACTCTGTTGTTTCTTCTCATAACCTTATGAATGAGGAGCTTACTGTAACATGCGAAGGGTTTAACTTGTAGTCTAATTGTTGACAATGGTATATTGTCATTCGCTTATTCATTCCGGCAATGCTATGTGTGAAAACTTTCTACAGAAGCTGACTTATTTTTTTCGATTTACTTCCCTTGTTTGTGCAGCTTTGTCTGAACCAATTGATGTGTAAGTGAATCCAACAGAGACCTTTTACCGTGTATCATTCCTCAATCCTTGCTCCTCTTTATCTTGCCCGCTAATACGTTCTTGTACAAATGGTCTCACTGCAGATACAGCGAATGGATTGATGAGTGTGAACGAGTCAATAACCCTGACGATGATGGTGCCTGAAAGAGCAGGCAAGTTCTACTGCTGGAACTATGTTTGGCTTTCACCGACTGCAGCAGGCGTATAAACCTTGCTTCCAAAGGCTTGAAAGTTTATGTTGTAAGCTTGTAACTATAGTGGGAGTTCTTTCCTGGTAATGCATAGGAGTGCGGATGAATATGCCTTGTGGGTAGCCTCTTATCTGGCGTTATATTTGTCTTCTATGTCTTAAACCTTATAAGATAGCAGGTTGTTAGCATCTAAGATCTGCATAGTTCTGCTGATAAAAAGAGAACTGATACATTCGGAACAATTCAAGATGTGTTATTTACTTATTTGTTGCTTGTGGTGTCCTTAATGTCGTGCAAGTATTAATGTTCAGTATTATCGGAAATCTTGAAATGGTTATCGTTGCCCTATTTTTTGTTGATAGAGGTCACAATCAAAATAATCACCATACGTGCATGTGTTTCACAACCACGAAAAATCTCTGCGAGAAACACAGTCCGGCCAGCAGCGATATGAACATCGACACAAAGCTAGGTAACCCCAATTTCCATTTACAAGTTTTACGGCGCAAGACAAATGATGTTTACAGTGCAACCATATGAAAGCTTCACCATAAACTATTCCTTGCCCGAGATTGCATTGTTACAATACAGATAACCATAAGTTACTGCAATACTGGATTACTCGGCAATCAAGCAGCAGCCCCACTAAATTGCCAGAAATGTTAAATGTGTTTGTTGCAACATACCATCTGTAAAATTAATCCAAATGGGCTGCTTAGGGGAAAAATAGCACTTTCTCGTCGTCATCAATGAGAGTTAGAAATGAGCTCCAGCTTCCAAGCTATAAACCTGGGGTAGTAGCACTTTCCATTCGAAGTTCGACTATATGCATATTCCATATCCATGATAGAGATGGGAGGGTCGGCTTCTTGTTATTGAACAACAAAGACAGAGAGACCAAGCAATAGCATTCACCTAATCGCCAGCTGCCTTCTCACGTCACATAATAATCACCACCAAGGTAATTGTACTGTGGTCCGAGTCCATAATCGAAACCTTCATGTGCAGGCACCACTCGGTTAGGCACTGGATAAGGATTTCCAGCACCAACTTTAGCATCCACTTTGGCTCTTCCTTTCATAGGACGCTTGTTATTATCAGAAGGGAACTCAGCTGTAAGCCTTCCCATCTGCTTCTGTAGATTAACGACTGAATTGTCATTGGTCAATCTCCCCTTGGCAGCACTCTTCTTCCCATCAACGGCCTTTAGTTCCAATCTATATAAGGCACAGACATCACAGTTGTTGATCTCGTACTCGTACAGATGCCATTCGAAGTTGTTCAGTGGTTGTGGGTCCATGTAATAGGATCTCTTCAGTCCTCCAAATTCGTTCATGACTTGCTTCCTCGACTCGTGCCATCCACGCCCACTGTAATCAGGTAACGACCTTTGCTTTCTGTTGCCGCTCTCGAATGCTCGGCGTGGCTTGTCAAAGAAGAGCCATTCCCTGATTGTCTCACCATCAAGTACCGTAAGATCAAAGAGTTCTGCAAAGTACAGAAAAGAAAAGCATTATATTGGGTCATCCAAGATAACAGAGATAATCCACGATGTCAAACAGAACATCTCTGCTAGAGGTGGCAAATATCAGCTTAACCAATCCACTCGAAACCCATCTAACTCACAAACCATTTCACCCACCATTTCCATTGGTTTGGCGGGTGAATAGATTGAGTCAAGGGGGTTACAAGAACCTGAACGTTTTCCTTGCATATTTTAGTACCTAAACTTTCCGTATATTAGCGAAACAAATTTGAGTCAACTTAGGATTTAGTACATAAATACTTATGGGCCTCAGATTTCAGTACCTAATTTACTTCAGAATTTTACAAACAGGTCTAGGATTCAAATAGAACTTTTGCTAATTCAGTACAAAAAAGTATTTTATGACAGCTACTAACAAACTAATTCACCCATCATTTCACAGTTCAATATCAAAACTTCTAAACCAATATCCAACACCCCTTAACCCTTAGTCCCTTGGACCTGACCGATGAATAAAATACCCTCCAAAGCCAATCAAAATTTTCATGAGAATGCCACCAACCCAACCGATTTGCCACATGTAGGTAGGAGGTAATACTTCACTAAACAAAGATGTAAAAGTAAACGAGATAAGCTTCATCTAAACTTACCAGGAGCATTCCAAGGAGACTTTGTAGTTGCAGCTCCCTCGCAATCGGGGACACCGACATCTCGTCCCTCGGCCTTTGCACCAAGAGCAGCAAAGAGAAGACCATCTTTCAGGCCGATGCCTCCGGGCCTAAGAACAGGACCCATTCCTGGGAGGCCTTCATTCAGGGCTAGGTCATGATGAAACCTACTGCAGTAGACCTGCCAAAAGTCCAACCCTCCCTGTGCCGGTCGAGCACAATCCCAGAGTGCACACTTTGGGCCTAAGAAGGCTGAAGGTGGAGGGCATATACCTGGAAGATAACTACTAGCAAGATTCTGGGTGGTACCATCTTCACCACATAGATTCATACCATTAATATAGAAGCTTTGGTCAAAGTTTCGAGGCAGATCAAACTGATGGTAGTCCAACTGAGTAGTACCTTCCAAATTGGTCACAACTATCCCACGACCTGCTGATGGAGAATCTTTGCATTCATTGGCATATGGAAAGCAATGCTCCTGTTGCCTGTGATTCAATCCATAACCCTGTAATGCAATACACGGCAAACTTACTTAGTTCTGACTTGGTAAGTGAAAGCAAACATAAAATTTAGGAAAGCACCACGTTTATATCACTTGTGTTCTTTATTTGACAGTCTTCTCACTAAACAGCAAAGCTAAGCTACTGATATGGATAACTCATTCCCCAAAAAAATTGGACTTCCACTTGTGCTCAACAAAAAACATGAACATCTAATTAAGCAATGAACTTTTGAAAAACAAAACTAGAAGATAGGAAGGCAAAATTTCCTGTTGTATGTCAATTGTCAAGATGAAAGAAAGAATAGCTGACAGAAAACTTGCAGCCAACAGCAATAACCACATGTGGAGATAAAATCACCAGTACTCTGAATTCTAGCCTTTAATTGCAGTGATGATGCTCAACTTTATCATGATTCATCTATGACAAGTTCCAGGAGAAAAATAAAAGCTTAACAAGTTTGGCATACTCTGCACAACCAGTATATCAGTAATGCAAATTCTAAGACCAAAACCTTCAAAACTGGGATCCCAATAGAAGTAAAGGCATGCATAATAACTAGATCTATATGCATACCAAAATAACCTGCACTTATGCACAAACATATATAGCCTAATAAGTAGGCGGTAAATCACCAAAGTAGGAGATCCACCTGAGGGAACATTGTGTTAGTATCACCCTGCAGACTTTGATCATTAGGCTCGGGCTTTGGCATTGCCAATGTGCTAGTGGCATCATCATCCTCCTCACAAAGCTGCAACAGTCTGCATATGTCCGTCGAGAAGGATCCAAGACTCCCACCCTGTAACCCAATGAAGATTCACAATTTCATTACCACAATAATAACACCACACCATCCATGGTCGTCACAACCTGATGATATGCACACAAAAATTTTCCATGACACAACAGCAAAATGCGATGCATGCATAAAATATACATGTTCACTTGAAATTCAGAATTAAAGTAAGAAAAGGAAAGGATCCTAACTTGTTGCAGAGAGCTTGCCGGAGATGGCTCGTTGAGCTCAGATTTCCATTCTCGGAGCATCTGATGGACTTGTTCTTCAAGAACCGCCACGTCGATGTTGCGGCTCTCTTTCCTAGCAAACTGGAGATCAACGAAGATCCCTTGAAGATCATCCACTCGGGTTTTTGCCCTGTCCTTGAACTGCCTGTGTGAGGTCGACTTGCAGTTGGCCTTCGAACCCTTCCCCATAATCACAAGGATAGCAACTTCGCTTCAATCTCTGGGAAAACAACCATACCAAAGAAACAAAAAGACCCACGAACCAGAATCAGACCATCAGATCAACCAACCATACACCACGAGTAATCAAAACTGGAAACATAGAAATCGACAACCGTAGTATCCACAGTAAAATATTCCCACAAAGCGCCGACAACAAAAACCCTAAATTCAAAATCAGACGAAGAAGAGCAGCAACCGAGCATGCAGAGCAGAGAACAGAACACAAACCAGAACCCATCAGGAATATAAAAGCGAATTTCCAAATGAGACGAAAATACCTACTCTGGGTTGGGACAGAATCGCCGGAAGTGAGCAGCAGCAATAACCCGAGCAGTAGATAAAGAGAGATGAGAGGGAAGATAGAGATCGAGGAATGCGAGGTTAGAAAAAGGGGAGAAGAAAGGGAGAAAGGGAAATATTCCAGAAAACCCAAAAGGCAGAGATGCTTCTACTTACTGCCCTCCTCTAGTCTCCCCCTCAATCTGCGGTTTCTACCTCAGCCCTCCTATTCTTAATTACTTTCCCTCCTTTTCTTCTTCCTTTGCCTGATTCCGAAATGGCGCTAACTGAGTAATTTCTCTTCCCCGTTTTTACTTCATCGCTAAATATCGCCCTTAAAATTGCTAACGATCGCACTAACTCTAATGATAAATGATTTATATACCCCCAATAAAATTTCAAAATTTAAACAAACCAAACAATCCCTAACCCCTCAAACTGAACCCCTCATCTGTCTTCTTCGCGAATCCCTCTCGACGCACCAGTTCGTCGGCGTCTTTCCCGCCGTCGGCGTCGCCCGTTCTCTAACGAAATTTCTAAAAAAACGCTCAACCTAAGGCACTAAATATCGCCCTTAAAATTGCTAACGGTCGCACTAACTCTAATGATAAATGATTTATATACCCCCAATAAAATTTCAAAATTTAAACAAACCAAACAATCCCTAACCCCTCAAACTGAACCCCTCATCTGTCTTCTTCGCGAATCCCTCTCGACGCACCAGTTCGTCGGCGTCTTTCCCGCCGTCGGCGTCGCCCGTTCTCTAACGAAATTTCTAAAAAAACGCTCAACCTAAGGCAAGTTATGGTTGGTCCATGGTGCAACCGCAACTCACTTGCGGTTGGTCCATGGTGCAACCGCAACCGCAAGTGAGCTGCGGTTGCACCATGGTGCAACTGCAAGTGAGCTGCGGTTCCACCATGGTGGAACCGCAAGCAGGGGCGGAGACACAGTATTAAAAGGGTGTGCCACGGCACACCCTTGGATCGGGGCTAAAACATCAAAAAATAGGGGTATTAGTTTATGCTATAGCTAGGATTTGAACATGGAACCCCCTTACTATTAGCTTTGACATCTTCCACTAAACCACAATTACTTACATGATAAACTAATACATTTTATTGCATATATATAATTTACTGTTTACAAATAATAAGTAAATTAAATTAAAAAACATCATAATTACATATGCTTATTCAAGAAGTAAACAAAAATTTAACCCTAACAAGCGAGCTTCTTGATAGTCTTGATGATGAATGTATTTTACAGACTTTTCAAAATATGAGAACCCGTCGTGGGTCACTATAAAATATTGATAGTCATTTTAATTTTTTTAAATTGGCACCCTCTTACCCAAAATCCTGGCTACGCCACTGACCGCAAGTGAGCTGCGGTTGGCCCATGGTGCAACCGCAAATGAGCTACGGTTCCCTTTTTTGTTTTTTTTCAATTTTTGGAGTGAACTTTACCGATTCAGAGTCGCTAGTCATGATCCAGACATCATATCGACGATTCCAACTCCAGAATGACGATGATGGATTCTCTCTTTTGAATATTTTTTTATTTTCTTTACTAAGTGGTGTTTGTTTGCTAAAGGAAGAGTAAAGAAGCTAAAAGATTAAATTTGTAACTTTGATGTTTTTTAGGGCGACATTTAGCAATTTTAAGGACGAACTTTAGCAACTCCCTGTTTTTATCATGGGAGGAAGGAAAGGAAAGGAGAGGAGGACTAAAAGGAGAGAGTGACAGTGAAGACGAGACTGTTCGCTTTAAGTGGATGGACTTGGATGGTGTAGCATGCCACTGGGACGGCATAGCCATAGCTCGAAGAAATTCCTTTTTTCTTCCTTTTCATTAACGTTTTGGTGTTAGTTGGCAGGGACGCAGAGGGTGACGTTTTCCCACAGCAGACTGGGCCTGACTCCTGAGAAAGACGGGCTCAAATTTGGGCTTGATTGTTGGGAGATTGCATAAGGTAGAAGCCCATGCAAGATTGTTGTCGAATTATAGATTTTGAGTGTTTTTTAAACAAATAAATGAGGTTTTAAGTTTGATAAAATGAATTATAAATTCTTAAAGGTTTAAATTTTTAATCGAAGAAGATACCGTAGAACATCAAAGTTTTCGCAATGATGATAATGATGAAAATGAGCGAGTTTCTTATACCATGGGATAGAACTGAATATTAAAAAAAAATATAATCTATCGAAATAATTAGTCACTATTGATATCAACACATTTGAAATTACTTGATATTCAGTAGTTCGTCTATTCAACCCTTTTCATTCTTCTTATTACTGGATATCTCGTTCGTACACATCCTGACGAGTTTATAATGACCCACTAATGTAAAAAAACAAATGGAATTCCAATATTCCATCTCATACCAACCGGTGGAAATGGTTAGTTCAACGTTGACATGTCCACAAAAAAAAACATACAAAAGCAAAACTTTCATCGGGGGAGAAAGAAGATGAGCAAGGCAAGGAAGGTATAAAGCGAGATTCCTGATCATCTCGATCATGATCAGAATCAGAATCTATTCCCTTCCATATTCACCTGTCATTGTGGCTACTAGATAATTGTCACCATCCTGGCAATTTCTCCCTTTTATCATGAGCAATTTCTTCCAAGTTGATGACAAACATTTAGATACATTATGTGCAAATCCAAATGTCAAAGAGCAATCTTCACTACTTTTTCGATGTGTAGGGCTGCATTAATTTTTCCAAACAGTACTCAATTAATCGTAATTGCTTACTTCAAATAACATGAACAACCCACCACCTCTCCAGCGAGAGTAAGAAACGACTGACCTTGGATTATAAGAATAACAAATTAAAAGAATAAATATGATTGTTAGACAACCCCACAATGTGAACTTAAATTTGGATGGTCAGGGATAACTTCGAATCATTGTAATTCCCAAAATCCAAGTCCAGAGATCAGATCTTGAAACTATAGCACCTAGTCGTGATGGTGAACAGTTCCTTTCTTTCTTCCAGGAAAGAACAGACAGCCGAGGAAATGCAAGTTATGAGTTATATAATTTGTTAAGGAATAGAAATGTAACTTGTTCAACCCATTCAACGGGAGAAAAAAAAAAACTTGTTCAACCCAAGAAATTTGAGACATAAAGCATCTATTCCAAACAACATTAGGGATCAAAATACCAACACACCATCCCATAATCTATTTGTTCCAAGTTCTAATAAATATCTTTGTGTGCAGATAAAAGCACAACAAAAGCTCACTTTATCTCAGCCTTCCTTCAAACAGGTAGGTTAAAGATATTAAACTTGGCAAAAAAGAAAGAATATAAGCCAAAATAGCAATACTTCAGCTCGATGCAAACACCACTTATTCTTATTCAGAAGACATCAAACAATTGTCACAAAAGCATATCCATTGAAATGTGGGTAAGCATTGATCATGCAAAAGATAAAACCAAACACCTAAAGAGGATGTGGCAGGTCTAAGATCGTAAACCTTGTCCAAAGACGAACCGATGCTGAATGTGTACGTCTAGTTCTTGCAACCTTGTTGTTTCTTTGGAGCCTGTGATTTTGCACTTCTTTGTATCTCTCAAACATAGAATGTAGTTATTTTGCCGAATTGGGGGTGGGCAGTTAAGTAAGTAATAAAATAAGGGAGTTGCTAAAGGTCGCCCTTAAAATTGCTAAAGGTCGCCCTAAAAAGAATAAAAGTTACACTTTTAACCCCCATAGCTTCTTTACCTTCCCTTCCTCAAACAAACATCACTTGAACTAAAAAAACACTCTCTAAGGAGAGAAAAATCTCTCATCGTCATTTTGAAGCCGATATCGTCGATAGGACGTCTGAATCATGAGTAGCGACTCCGACGAGGTAAGAACATGAACAAAAAAAAAAAAAAAAAAACAGAAAATGGGAACCGCGGGTGATTTGCGGTCCGACCATGGTCCAACCGCAAGTGACCTGCGGTTGAACCATGGCCGGACCGCAAATCACCTGCGGTTGAGCCATTGGTGGACCGCAATTGACCTGCGGTTGGACCATGGTCGGACCGCAAATCACCTGCGGTTCAGCCATGGTCCAACCGCAGGTCAATTGCGGTCCACCAATGGCTTAACCGCAGGTGATTTGCGGTCCGACCATGGTCAAACCGCAGGTCACTTGCGGTTGGGCATTTTTTGGTTTTTTTTTTTTTTTTTTCGTTGAATAATTTTTTTTTTATATGATTTATGATTGTTCCATGAAATAATTTGTTGGGTTTTGATTTATATAATTTATTAGATTTATTTGCATAATTATTTTTGGAATTGAAGGATTTAGCATTAGAAATTAAGATTAGATTTTTGGAATTGAAGGATTTAGCATTAGAAATTAAGATTAGATTTGGCCTTAAATTAAGATTAGATTTAATTTGGTGTTAATCTAGAAAATTAAGATTAGATTTTGCATTACAAATTAAGATTAATATAATTTATTAGATTTATTGGGTTTTGATTAGATTTTTGGAATTGAAGGAATTAGCATTAGAAATTAAGATTAGATTTGGCCTTAAATTAAGATTAGATTTAATTTGGTGTTAATCTAGAAAATTAAGATTAGATTTTGCATTACAAATTAAGATTAAATTTATTGCATAAATAATAGATTCGCATATGAAGTTATGATGATTATTAATTTTAATACTGATAACATTGCAGGATATTGGAAGTTACAATCCGGATGGCCATGATTACACCTCGGATTTCATTGATGGCGTGAAATACACTACGGAGTTGCAAGCATATGAAGCAGCCATTGAGATTGCAAAGGGTTTTGGGTTTTATTTGGTGAGGGCATCGAACAAAAAAAATACGAATGAAGGTACTTGGCGACATTACTTACATTGCACTCATGGTAGGAAGAAGAAGTCGAAGGAACCTGATCCGAGTAAGGAAACGAGGCCTCTTACATCTACTGAAAAGTTGGGGTGCGAGTTTAAGATCAAGCTTGAGCGGTCAGGTGATGGATATTGGTTGATCCTAGGGGTGGCAAATACAAAGAATCCTGGTGCTAATTTGGGTTTCCACAATCATCAGTTGGAGCTATTTCCGGAGGGATCAAAGGGAAGGAATGTTTTGACTACAGAGGACAAGCAATACATCAGAGAGCTGAGATCAGCCGGTGTCCCACCAAGGAATATCCACAAGGCAGTGAATGACAGAAAAGGTGCAAATGGAACACACAACAGAAAGCAGATTTATAACGAGTGTCACAAGATAAGGAAAGAAGAGCTTGGTCAGATGAC